CAAAATAATTGATTTTAAAGCTTAAGGCGTCAATTACAGGTTAGGATTAATTTGGAAATTCGGCAAGTTTAGCTAATTTTCAGTGGTAATTTATTTTTCCAGTACATTTCCTCACCGAAACCCAAAACGGATTTATTTGTTTTTGAATTGCGTTATAAGCAAAAGTTCACTTTACTACAGAGTGTTTGGTAGTCGACGAACTTTTTGCTGAAAGCTATAACACAAGTACTTTTGTATTTTTTTAACACCCTTAATCGTCCAGTTTCCTCTACAAGATGCCATTATTTGTTACATGTTTAGAGGGCCAAGAAAAGAAACGATATTTATATGTTTTACAATAAAAAGTTTTTTGTCAACTTGCTAACGTCTTTTTTGATGCAAAAGCAAAAATACATGCGTTCATACCATACTTTTATAGGAGTTATCTCAGGACTAGTTTCCCTTTATTTGAAGAAAAGTAGTAACGATATCTATAAAATCAGGTGTAAGTTTTTTAATATTTTTATTGCCTTTCAAAGATTTTTATCTTCAGTGGAGTCTATACTTTCATTGCCCACAGTTTCCAAGTAGTACTTTAGTATCAACTTTGTTGAATCGTTGACTGTAGGAAATACCTTTAAAATGCAATTTATAGCGTTTTTAGATCGTTGCGGATTGCATTTAAGCATTGAAGTCAGCCAAAACTTAATAGAAATCATTACAACTTTAAATTGATTTTATATACATGTTTATATACAAATAGTTGAAGATTATTAGTGTTTTTTTATTTGTAATCGATCCGCCTTAGAGGTGAAATCGAATTAGGTTAGAAGAGAAGTTAGAATTAGAAGGAAAACTAAAATTTCTATTCCTTAAAAATAATATTTATATTGAAGAATGTTTAATTTAAATTTAGACCAATTTAACAACATTTGAATGTTCCTATATGCTATTAAAACTCATTAGTAGTAGTAAATAATGCACCAGAAAAGCATCAACATAAATTTTCGCTTAATTAAATACATACCTACAGCGATCAAAAAACCGGCAAGAAATCGAAGCTGGGAAAAATTAAAACATTAAGAGATTTTGCCTTTATACGAGCAGCAATCTATAACAGCGAAAAAAGGAAAAACTATGGTTCTCAAACTTATTTGTTTTTAAAGTAATTACGTTCGAAATTAACTGAGAGCGAATCGCTACTTTAAGAATACGAAGTAATTCTAACTTATCTAGAGATCCTAAAGTAAGACTCAAACCATTGTTACATGTTTATTCAGGGAAACGAGTGCCTGTATATTTAGTGTAAATATTTCAAATGTAAAGTAACGGATTAATATTGTCTGTAACTGATAAATATTGTCTTAATTAAAATTTGTATATTTTAGTTCAACTTTAAGCACTTCTCGAAATGTGAATGAATAAAAAGAACTTTGAAACTTTTAACCACCTACGGCAAGTTCAGTTTTTTTACAAGACATTTATATATTTTGATATGTAAAACTTAATTGTTTTATTCTGGACAAAAAATTGTTTTTTATCATACATCGCAATATGGCAATATTCCAATCTGTTTTGAAAGTTCCATTTATAATGACATTCAACTAGCTTGTATAGTCATTCTGCTTAGGTTGTGGGATTAAATGATGCAAGTGTTGTAAACAAGTGTGTTATAGATGCTGAACGTGCGAAACACTCCAATCAACAATTGAAACAAATTGATATTTATTAAGGCAAAATTAATTCGAAATAGCTCCTTATAGAATCACTAAGAAAAATTATTATGTATTATATATATATATATTAAAAAGTGTTAACTGATGATTAATCTCTTGTAATAACATATTGAAATTGGAAAATATACATACTGTTTAGCTTAATGAACTCATCAAAATAATCTCTCGTGAGTAGTATTAAATGGCAAGCTGTCTATTTTCCATTACCTAATTGATATTTTCGCAGCTAATCAGCTTATTAATGATCAAGATTCCAATGTGTTCGAATTAAAATGGTTTTGACGAACGTCACAATCGGAAATTGATATAAAAAAACGGAAATAAAAGGCGAGCTTTCTGGAAATTTAATTTAATTTTTGATACAGCACCTTTTGTCAATAGAATAAAGGATTATTTTTATCAAGAACCTACATTAATATAGATTGCAAAAGTAGATTTGTCGTTATTACAGCACAACGGCGAGATCCTTTATACTAGAATGGTTTCGCATATAAAACGTCTACAAAAATTAGATTAGATAGAAAAAAATTGAATGACACGTCTAATGTAAGTGGCCGCACATGCTAAATTCCCAATTGATTTCAAACAAAAAATTATTTGTATTTATAATTTTCGTATATTTATTTTAAGTACATTTATTGTTTGAATAACGGCTAATGGTTCTTTACTAAACGTTTGAACAAAAATTGCAAAAGGATTGAAAACAATTGAATTGATCTCCGATCAGACGCAATATGTGATATAAATTACGTGACGCGAAAGGTAGAAAGGTAATGGACATCTTAGTTTTGTGTGTTAATGTGCTGCTTAGTATGTGTGTTCCGTAAGCGTATCTAGTGAAATGAAACGTAGAAACATCTTATTTTTATCAGAAGAGAAATTCCTAATGAATTCTGGTAGTTAAAAAAGTTTGCAGCAACCGAACATTGAAGGTGCTGCAACGAATAATAATGCACGATTCTCAGACTGAAAGGGAATGAAAGTTCATCTTCTTACCCCCTTGTTTCTCCTTTTAGTTCACGTCTAACTACATGGCGTCCGCAATGCCCGAATTTCACGTTAGTTCACTTTCTGGTTTAATTACTTGATATAGGAGAAAAGTCAATTAGGTTTCTAACTATTTATTTTAACGAAAACACAAAGCCAGCTTTTCAATTAAAATCAATAAAAAACTTTTTTGAGCTCTTTATATATTTATAGCGTTTCAAGCAGTTCCTTTTACGTTCTCGACAGCATCTCTATTTTTGAAGATACGTTCAGGATGCATCAAAAGAGATAGACTTTCCAGGCCAGTCCTTGAAACTTGTGGGTTTTTAGGCCGTCGTCAGGAAGAAATTTCAATTTACGACGGCCTAAAAACCCGAAAAACCCACTAGTTTCAAGTTGCTTTAAAAAATCTCTCCATTTTGTCGAAAATTATTTAAAGTAGAGAGCATTTCGAGCAATTATTTTTTATATTAAGCCGCGTTCAGACGACTGAACCGAACCTAGCGTCGCATCAAAATGTTACCGCGTACGGTTCGCAGCCAGCCGTTGGTTGTTGGAAAAGTGCCGATCCTTCAAAAATATTAATTTTGATTTTTTCTACTTATTTTCGAACGAGGCTCGATTCGGTAGTGTGTCTATATTCCGTCTCTTGTCCAAGCAAAGCGAACAGCAACTCGGTTCGCTCCCAACGATCTTACATTATATGGTTCGGTTCATGTCTGGACGCGACTTTACAATTTGCGTTTATATTGTTTAATTGTTCGTTTCAAACTAGTTAATCTGAATTTGTTCGTACTTATACATTATTTGTGCACGACTGTCTTATTTGACTACAGCCAATTCTCAATCTAAAGAATAGTAAGTTTTTAAATAAATTTTCTTTTAAATTACGCATTAAAAATAAGTTAAGCAATTGTACTGGTGATTATTAGAAATATCGCTTCTGTAGAGTTTAAATAGCGTCTTTGATACTGTTAAGATTTTGTGTGAAGTTCTTAAAACACATTATTAACTGACCATTGCATATGTTATACAGTGCATTATCATTTAAAATATTTGAAATCAAGCTTTCAGTTCGCTTAAAGATAAAATAATATACTTTCAACTCCTCAAAAACCCTGAGGGTTCTGCTGAGGGCAAGCTAATCTAAGAAAAAGCATTTAAAACCACACCAAATGCAAACGGCCAAGAAACCCGTACATTTTTCACAACCTTCACAGCAACAATCCAGAAAAACGCAAAAAAAGTAAAAAGTAGGAAAATAATGACAAAATATCAAGCGTCTCAACATTGTTTCATAAAAAATTACTTATTATTTGAAAGATCTGGATGCGAGTAAACAGTTATCAAACTAGCCCAAACTATTTTGTCGCTTGTGATATTAAATGGAATAAACAACCTTTATGGAATCTTTGTTGAGGAATATGAAAACATTTTAGTTTTTTAAACAAATAATACAGGTATTACGTGTACCTCCCATATTAGTTGTGGTACAGACAAATTGAATTAAAATATGTGCATACGAACAAAAAAATTAATTATGGTACACTTAAACACAGAAAATGTGAGTAATAATGATTTAGTGCTACCATATGTAGGCACCAATCTGAAGAATTTGTTATGTCATATTTTACATCATATCCGAGTTCCCATATGTTTTTTTTATTTTTCAATGATTTTAAAAACAATTAGTCTCAAGTGAAGTTATCCGATATATGTTGCGAATAGAATCAGAAAATAGCGGTCTCTTGATACATCGTCCTGCAGACCTTTTTCGTAATTTTTCTTTATTAAAGCGCTTGAAAGGAAATTAAATTTTTAATCGATGCAAATTTAAACATTGCATCCCTAACTGAAAAGTGCTCACGTGTCTATTTTTTTATTATCCCTAGATTCACTATTCTTTTCAGAGCTCTGCGTTGGTAGAGAATATTTTCAGCTCTTACGAATACTCTTTCAAGTGAGTTCTTGACAATTTTTCACTTTTAGTACACTAAAGCCATTGAAGCCGTTAACTGAAAGCGACAGAATGCATTTTGCAATGGCCCTGTCCCTAGAATCCAGTGTTAAAATGCAGCCCGGCTCTGAATCGATGCCGATTTAACTAATTGAAATTTTATAAAACGAGCGGGTAATAATAAAACTAAGTAATTAGGTACCAGCAAACCTCGAGTTCAACTATAATTAATATGGGTTGTTTAAAATGGATCCATTGTTTTAATGAATTGCATTCTTCTAAACCATAATGGGTTTTAAAATATTTCAGTTAATTTTAGAATCGACAAGAAAATTACTCACCAACAACATCTAGATATCCAAACTGGGTTTTTGCAGTTACCGTATTGATTTGACACATGTAACGACCTTTGTCTTCTTCTTGTACATTGGTGATGTGGAGAAACCAAGTTCTGTGCTTATCATGGGAAACGCTGATTCTTGGATTTCTTGTAATTACGTGATTATGTACCGTCAATATGGCTGATTGTTCAAAATGCATCCAGGCAACCTGGAAATAATACGTCATTAAAATTATTGAAATTGTGGAAAACAAATTAGAATACCTAAGCCCCAGCATCCAAAATTAATTCATATTGTTCAAATCCCATGGAAGAGAAAGAAGTGAAGTTTCTGATACTAAGGCTTTGCCTCTATATTGCATTTTAACATAAACGACCAATGTATTACAGCTTTTCTCTATTTTCCTCGAATTTCTTATCAATAAGTTAGCTGCTTTGAAAGTTTTTGAATTGAAAGAAATAGAGAAAAATCGGGGAACACTTAACTTACCGAGGAACTTTTGAAATTGGAGAACATTCACATTTTAATATTGTCCATTTTAGTTTATATTTATCTCAAAAACTTTTCGCTGCAGCACACAATATTTAATTTAATGTCCTTATTTTCAAGAATCTGTTTTTGATTGTATTGTAGCTTCGGGTGGATAGCGACCTGCTAATTATTCATTTTCCGTGCCTTTATGTTAATGTCGTTTAAAAGAAATGTTGTTTATTTATATTTTACCAGTTTTAATAAAACTCGTAGGAAATTTCATTGAAATGAAAATAGCTTATTTCTATTTTAATTTTTCTGTTTGAAGCAAAATCTCCTTACAAGGAAAATTAAATTATTAGCTAGTCTAATTTGTACTCAGGTAAATGACCGATGTAAAGCTCTAAATTGTGTAGCGTTCTGAAATCATGTGTTTAGTTAGTATGCTACAGAAAGTTTGCGGTTTGTGTCTTAAAGAAGTTATATCTTTCGTCGTTCATATTTTGAGGAAACGGGTATGAATACGATTCAGTTTTGGTCAGTGTCACGGAAGTTCAAGAGTTAAGAAACGAAAAAAGAAAATTATAACAAATTTTTCGGCCGTTTTGAATATCGATATTCATTTCTCGCCGATATTTATTAATTATCCTAAATATATTATTGTATGTTTTTACAATAATGGGAAATGGTCTCTTTAGAATTACTTTCAAGATACGCCCTATACAGGTATTTGCTTGCTTCATTAGAAAACACACTTTATACTTAAAGCTGGCATAATTTCTAAGAAGCGGTTATTTTGTTGGATTATACAGTATCCTGATATAAAAATTTATTATTTTATAAATGTGTAAGTTTTGAGAAAAAATTATTGTTTTATTCTATCACGAGTTTTCTAAAACCGTTCCAGAATAAATTTATCGTTTTTTGCCTGTATACTGCTTCTTGCTGAGTGTTATTTGTTTCACATAAAAAATGTTAAGCATTCTACATGTTTTTGGCTTCTAAAGCAAGATGCGATTCTTCAGATCCTAAAATGCCAAAATTAAGCGTTTCCATAGAGAAGCTTATTAATGTCTGTTCGTTTTTTAATGTGCTAATATACCATTCACCGCAACCATAAATACTGAAACAATTTGCATATAAATAAGATATTGCTGAATTTCGTTTTGAGAACACTAGCCAATCGAGCAATCGACTGATAACTATCCTAGTCACAATCAAAAAGAGTGACTCAATTCGTTCCCCCAGTCCTTGATTGGTTATGTGATAAGTTCCAAGGGTTTTATTGGCCATCGTTTTACTGTCCTTTCATAACGGTTATAAACATGCATTTCTCATCTAAAAACAAATCGATAAGTTCTTTGTTTTGTTTCACATCAAGTTCATTATCAATATAATTTGTACAGGGTGCTTGATTAGTCGACAAAGTCTTTGCTGGGTGTTATAGGAGAAGTATTTTTCTGAAAATATCATCCTCTTTTGATTTGTGACACAAACTCCAAGAGAAGAGATGTTGTGATTTTTTCCCACATAACACACCCTTTTTCTGTAAGAACGTTAAAGCCAAGTGATCAGACATAGCAAAATCGGTCTGCAAAGTATGGAAATAGAGAGATTGGATAGGATTGATTTACTGGAGCTACAGATAACTTCAAACCAAAGGAACGACTCAGTGCCTTAAACCAGAACTCCAGAACTGCGCGCTCTTGTTGGCCCACTGCTGTCCACAGACACTGGATAGTATAAATACAGCAGTAGCACCAGCTTAATAATTAGAGTCGCTAGAGTGAAAGGCGGAAGACAACTTCAATCATTTCTTGATAGTCTTTGATAATGCTAACCGCTGATGTAAACGAAATGTCATGGAAACAATTTGAATGGTCCACGGCTTATAAGCTCGGAAAACTTGTAAACCGGTAAATTATTCTGCGCATAAATTAAACGTTGAACTGAGTTGCTGAATAAGATATAATACAGATTATTTTTCTATCTGAGCTACTCTGAATTGTCTGCAATAGAGCCACCATTCTCCAGTGACATTGCAATAGTAAATTATTTTATCAAGTTTTTAGTTTGGGGGACAGTTCTGTTATTTACTATTACTTAATCCATTTTTTTCTACAGCAAAAAATTGCAAAAAGTATTCTACAATAAACATTTTCAGAGCATTGGCTTAAGGCTTCATTAAAAGTCAGCAATTAAATTGAAATCACCATGACGCTTTTGTGGTTTTCCGATTCATGCTGAAAAAGGCTTGCTTATAAACTTAAGTTACAGTCTGTTATAAATGCCAAAAAGAACCTTTGATATTTTAAAATGAAGATTACCTACAAACCACTTTGGGATAAATTGTAGAAATGGATAAATTAAAAATAGTTCCTTACTTATGGTTTTTCGGTGCTGAGTGAAGTGGTGAAATTTATAGTTGGTTTGAGTGCAGCAGTTAACGCATTTATTGACATCTAGTCAGAGTGGAAAATTTGCCTAATGTCTCAAAACGTTAATAACCCTGGCTAAATCTTGTCAATACGGATAACGTCCATGTTCAGATCATTTTATTAAAATTTGATTATTAATTGATTGTTACCAAATATGGCCCATTGCAGTGTAAGTAAGCGGATATTTAGGGTGTTCACAGATTGAGAAGGGTATATCTTGTTATGTACACTGCTGATAATAAAAAAAGGATAAATTTGGATTTTTCAATATCTTATATTTATTTACAAAAGCAGAACAAATATGTTTTGCTCTAAATGGATAGTGCTAAATTGACACATAATTTATTCTTCACTTCTTAGCAGGTTTGCCCATTTCGAATGCTAACTGCCAAACGTGAATTTGTCAATTATCAAAATGATTCAATCGATTATTAACATTGCTAATAATTGATCTGCATAGAACTGCATATATGTTCAACTCATTGGCACTACCATGAAAGTTTGAAACACAATTTGAATATTCTATTATTTTAAATATTATTTGCTACTTCGCTATAGAAATGAAAGTATAGGCAGACTCTGCTAAATTGTTTAAAGTTAATTTAATTAAAGAGTTTCAAAGTTCACCAACAGACCTTTATAATTAAATTGTCCTTGCATAACTGCGAGGAAAGTTTTAGTCATGTACTATAAGATATTCTCGATGATCCAGCGATACTGTCGACTCTTGTCAACCACTAAATCGCGAAAAGAGAAAACCTTTTCTCGGCTTTAATGAACGATATCAACAAAATAAACAGATTGAAAAAATAAATCAAGGACAAAGCATCGTTGTTTTTACTGAAAAATGTCGTGCTAGAATTTACGTGAATTTTTTTCGAACAATTTAACAGCATGTTAATAACCAACAGAAAATATTAGTATCAATAGAATAGTAGTGCCATTAATTTTATTATTCAGTCGCGAAATCATACTTTGTGAAACATTAAACCGATCCAACCAATGTTTCGATCTATGAATGCCAACCAACGGTTCGACTTGTTTCGTCTGCCGTTGATTAATGTCTATTCATATTCTCGATGATAGAATAAATACAATATCGCTAACTTCTGCTTAACAACATTCAAAGAGAACTAAGCTTTACCACGACAAATTCTATTTTTTGTGATACTACTTTGTATTGGTCTGAGTAAAATTTTCTATGTTTAAACAATTTTTTAAACACAATTGGCATACATATTAATACTGAAACACATTTTTCCGAAAAAAACTCTTTGGGGAAACAAAAAACCACTAACTTTAGTGCATCATTTTATTTGGAATGCTATTAAGGTTGGTAGAGTCTGTTCCGATATCAAATATAAAACATCCAAAATATAGCGCTCATCTGTAGATTTTACAAAATAAATATAATTCTAAGTGATTTTATTTATATCTGTACATGCAGAAACGCTACTTCTATAATGTTAGGCAAATGCATTTCCTTATATTTAGTCGACTGCAGAATATATATTAGCTTTGTTCGCTGTAGGCGCTAAAACAAATATCATTATTATCTAAGAAGCATACTTATACATATAAAAATTGTTGTTTCTCGTATATTTATGTGTCCGAAAGTGACAAATCTATAATGTATTGTAACATTCAGACTGTAGTTTAATAAGCAGTCTATTTATGTCAGTTATTTACTGAACAGGCATTAGGTGGAAATATAATCGTCAGATATGAATTTAAGCAACGCTTCACTTCAGCGGAGTATTATGCGAACCATATTCATCGGGATAAACCCTGAATGGTGTAAAATGGTTTGCTACGTATGTTTGCGTGTATGCAATTTGCTATTTAAGACCGCTTTCCACATGCCACGCTTGTTGTCTCACTGATCTGGAAATTCTAAACATTTACGGCCGAAATTGATTTATTAGTGGTATTCCATTAGGATAAATGTATGATTTATACAATGCTGCGTTCATTGCAAACTGAAATATTTAAGTCCTAATACACTAACTTCGTCAATTTGGGTCACTGAGTTATGATTATCAGACAAAAGCGATTAGGTTGACGCAAATCACTAAGGGATATTCACAAAGGCTAATTCAAGCTTGGATACACGCTTATTTGCTCTATGTGAGAATTCCCTGAAGATTATTTAATAATCCATAACTTCACCCATTAGTTCACGGTCATGTTTAAATTTACGTCTATGCCATAAACGATCGCAAAACAGAAGCCAAACTGACACCATTTATTATATTAGCGCATAAGTAATTTATGCATATAATGGTCTTCAAAAACTCAT